TTTTGGTCACATATTCAGCGACCAGTTCTAGGACCTCCTTCCGAGTTAACCCAAATCCCCATTTTTCGAGGGTTGTAAGGCCAAGGACAAGCTTTTCTTCTTCTGCAAGTGAAAGTGCACATATTCTACCCTTGGTGGAGCTTTTCACTCCGCGTAAACCCTTTTTGTGGCTATAGAGGGTACTATAGGGGATGTTATACACTACGGAAGCGCGGTACATAGTCATTCGATTGGCTCGAACCTCCTGTAATGCCCGTTGCAAGATTTCATCATCATATTTCTGGTTGGGCTGAGTTTTCCGTTTGTAGACACGCACCATTTTTCCTGAAATCAAAATGGGGCAAGTGTGATATACAGATGACTGTGGGGTAAATGTAGTATAGCACATTAGCCCCACAATTCAAATTGAGGGGGGCAAGTGTACCATAGGGTTGTTAAAAAAAAACATAAACACATATCGAAAATGTAAAATACTACAGTCAAAATATATACTCAATCCACCCTAAAACCAAAAATTCAGTTGCTTACCTTTATTTTTACTTGCCCTCTCCACAGCACGAATAATTGAATGATGCACTCGACATGTAACCGAAAATAACAGCTGTTTGGAAAATAACGGAAAATTTTTGACAACTGACAGGAACGATTCGCCAAATTGGGAGTTCGTTCGAAAACATATTATCTGTAATAAAAACCACTCTAACGTCTAAAATTTTCGCTTGTGTTAGAATAAATGCCAATTATTGCATTTGCCCCGTTATCACATTTACCCCAACTGACCTTACCTATTTTTTTTTGTGATTTATGATTTTGGGAAATGGGTTAAATCCAGTCAAATCTGAGGGTAAATGCTCTTGACACTACAGTCTAGCCTATCGTCATAAGGCCTGTGTAGTTTAAATCCCAAGCGCCCCTGCCATACCAAAGCGCCAGTGATGACGTAGCGTGTCGCTTCTCGTCTTGACGTAGAGTGTTTGCACCACAGTTAAATAATATTTTTCATCATCAATGTATATTCTTAACTACGACCGCTGACGCAAACTGCTAACGTTGCTGTTGCCGTTGATGTCGGCAACGGTGCAACACCATATGAACTTGATTCCAATAATCGAGTTCGATAAGCACGTGTGTATTGTCCTTGGCCATGGTAGCAAACAGCTGACGACTTAGATAATGACGTCGACAATGGTGCTATACCATATAACCGTGATTACCAGAAACGAGGCCGATAAGCAATGTATGTATTATCCTTGGGCATAAGGGTAGTCACATCATCACATGACAGACCCTTTGACAGACAAAAGATAATGGAAGGGAATGCAAGGGAAGAGAAAACGTCCTATTCATGTCACAATGAGGCCCTGGCTTTAGATTGGAGAGCCGTGAAACAGAAAAAAAAAGAGAAAGTCAAATTTTTCAAATTACACGCAAAATACACGCTTTTTGTTTATGTTCAAAAAATACACGCAAGCCAATCAAAATACACGCAAATCGTGTAATTACACGCTTATTGGCACCACTGTTCTTGTCCCAAGAAAAGTTTAATTGGCAAAAAACGTAAAAAATGCGCATATGGTGCTAAGTTTAGAAAAAAAACATTTGAAAAAAAAACATGAAAAAAAACCTGAAAAAAAAACAAAAAAAAAACGGATTGTTTTTTTTCACGTTACATCTCTACACAGAGTATCTACAGTATATGAACTTCAATAAACAAGAAAGCAGTGATCCTCAGGAAATCTCGGAGATGTTTGGCACCCATTTTTATCGGTGTACTCAGAGTATGTAGAATTTGATTCAGATGAAACATTTTACTGTGATAAATCGGTCTCACTTGCAGACCTCAAACTCTCTGTGATGGACGTTTTTGATAATATTAATGATTTTAAACTTAGTTTAGGCCCTGGGCCCGATGGGGTGCCTGTTGTTCTGTTGAAGAATTGTAAGTTTGTCTTGTCCGAAGTGTTATGTAAACTTTTTAATCTGTCTTTGAGTAGCGGAAAATATCCCTCATGTTGGAAATTGTCATATGTCACCCTGACCTTTAAGCAGGGGAATAGGTCAGACATAGAAAACTACCGTGCTATTTCAAAAGCTTCATTAATTTCAAAAATCTTCGGATCCATGGTTGCCGAAAAAATAACTCCACTTTCCAAACATATCATTATAAACGAGCAGCATGGTTTTATGAAAGGACGGTCCACTGTATCCAATCTTTTATCCTATGAGCGATGTCTGTTGGAAGCCTGCGAGAATGGGGGTCAAATTGATTCTGTTTACACTGATTTCTGGAAGGCTTTCAACAGTGTAGATCATGGCATATTGGTGAGGAAACTCAAATCCGTTGGGATCTTTGGAGCAATGCTCAGTTGGTTTTAGAGTAATCTTAAGGGACGAAGGCAGGCAGTAAAAATAAAAAACCATATATCCTCCGAATTTGCTGTTACATCTGGTGTTTTCTCCAAGGTGGGCACCTGTCAACATTTTTATTTAACTGTTTCATTAATGATGCGAGGGGTGTTTTTCGTTTTTGCCAGTTTCTGGCTTTTGCCGACGATTTGAAACTATTTATGATAATCAAATCACTTAACGATTGTAAGCTGTTGCAGGAGGATCTGAGTAGATTCGCTGAGTGGTGCAAGGCAAATAATTCGTCATTAAATACAAACAAATGTTCAATTGTTACCTTTAGTAGATCAAAGACTCCTATTGTATTTAATTATGGTGTCAACTCAGTAGGGCTTGAAAGGCAGGTTCTAGTAAAGGATCTCGGTGTATGGCTTGATTCAGAGTTATCTTTTATTAATCACATTGACATAATTACCAATAAAGCCATGCGGCTCCTGGGATTTGTCTTTCGAGCTCTGCGTGGGTTTGAGAATATATATACTTTTAGAGAGATTTATTGTGCATTGGTTCGCTCTGTTTTGGAATATGCAACATGTGTATGGCATCCTCACTATAATGTGCATGTCAAAAAACTTGAGCGGGTTCAACATAAGTTTCTTAGTAGAATTGCATTTAAATTAAACGTCCCGCATGATTAAATAAATTATAATGACATTATGAGAGTACTTGGTATTGCATCACTTGAGAATAGGAGAAAGTATTTTGACATTATAACCTTTTACAAAATTATTAATAGTATTATAGATGCACCAGACCTACTTGCGGCGGTGGGCATTCGTGTATCGGCTGTAAGCCAGAAATAAAGAGCTTTTTGATATTGAATTCCATAGAACTAATTATGGGATGAATTCGCCTCTGAATAGAATGTGTAAACTAGCTAATGATGTGATAAAGAAAAATGATCTTGATATATTTTCTGATTCGTTTAGTAAATTTAGTAGAAAAGTGAAGAAGAGCTTTTTATCTTTAAATGTATATTTTGCCATCTTGAAATAATTTTTTGTTGACTGATCGTTATTATTTTTTCTCTATGTTGTGCTTTTTGCGTTATTTTTTAAGGTTCTGTTTGTTAATTAAGATTATCCTATTTTTTGTGTGACTGTAATTTATTTATTGTAATATTTTAACTATTTGTAGAATGCTCTTTGCGTGAATAAAATTGTGAATTTTGAATTTTGAATGAGAGACATATGAGCAGTACATCCCTTAGGCCCAGTTGTACAATCTTGGTTCAAATCAGAGTTCAGCTAAACTCGACTGGTACTTGAACTTCCCCATTTAAAATACATTGCTGTCAGCTTTTAATCAAATTCTATCAATTTTGACAGCAATGCATTTCAAATGGGGAAGTTCAAGTATGTACCAGTAGAGTTTAGCTGAACTCTGATTTGAACCAAGATTGTACAACTGGGCCTTAGTGCAAAGATACGTCAACAATCCTTGCGGAAATAATAATGGAGGATGTCAGGACATGTGAATTGTTACCAAAACTAAAGCAAGAATACCGATTTTGGGCTAGATGTGCTTTGTAATATTGGCTACAGATTACTCTTGGATGAACAAAAATGTGACCTCATTGATGACTTCCTAATGTACTCTAAGCAATAAAGCTTCATCAAAGGTGAAGTTTTAGATCCATTTGTTGAAGGATTTAGTGTAGCCATCTTACTCGAGGAGTAATTTAATGGGTTTTAATGTCTTTTATTATTATTTAGGTTTGTTGGTTTGGAAATTCGATGCCAGTGAAAAGCAAATTTCCTCCGTCGTGCCTCAAGACGTTATCTACAGAGTGCATCGTAATGGCGAATCTAAAAAGTTTTAAACGTGTGGAAGGTTTGTTAGTGGATTTGGCTGCTAGAAATTTATATTACATCGACAGCAGAAAAGGCACCCTTAACGTCTTATCCACGAGAAATGTTGCGTATATAGAACTTTGTTGAAAAATTTAAAAAGACCTAGAACTATAGTAGTGCATCCTAATAAAGGATTTTTGTTTTAGGACAGACCAGCAAATATTCCAAGAGCTTTTACTGATGGTACAAATTTAACCGTATTCAAAAATCTTACATTGGGTTGGCTAAATGGTTTCAATGTTTTATTGGATCACGTGCAGCATTCTAAGTCAGACTGCACAGATATAAGAAGAGTTAATTCAAGATTGATCCGTCACTCCTTGAGCATTGTAATCTACAAAAAAATTATCTACGTAACTGATTGGCATTGGATGCCATTATCCGATTACATAAGTTGACAGGTGGAGGAGAAGAAACTTTAGTACGGGAACCGCAAACTAATAGATGATATAATATTTAGGTTAATGACAATGATCAATAAGAATGATGAACAATGTTGATAATATAACGCTGATCTTACATTAATGAGCGGTACCTACTGAAAATACCATAACTGAAACCCTTTTCTCTTGTCTCATGGTCTATATATTACGTCTACAAACTAGAAACTTTTTATCAAGAAAAAATAGACTAGGTAGTTGTAATTTTCAATAAAAAAGTTTCATAGGTATATCAATCCTTCATCGAATAACCCAGAAAACCTTGGACGATTTTGTAAAAAACTAGATTATTTTCACTCACCTTTGGTATTTTGCATAGATGCGGCTCCGTTTGATGGGGCTGCGGTTGCGTAGACGAGCAAGTGCTGACAGGAGACAGTTGTGAACACTCCGAATCTACGCTGGTAAGCCTTTGTCTCTTGACGGGATCGGGCGATGCTGTCGACGCCCTCTTTCCACTGGATTTCATGCGCAGATACGGATGTTTAGATGTAGCCTAAATTAAGACGATTAAATAAATTACAATATGAAATGAAATAAATAACACCCTTCAGCCTTTCATCAAGTGCTACCAGGCAATGTACTAATTCTTACAAAAACATTGATGTTTACAGTAAAGTAAGTTCTAATTGGATTTTAAACAAATTTCCATATTTGCAAAAGAAAGTCTTGGGTTTTTAAATCCAAAGTTCCAACCAAGAAATTGGCCTTAAGAAATTGAATCAAAACCACCGCCCTTTTGCAGTGGCTAGTAATATTGCTAGCTTTGAGCAAGGGGTAAACAAACCTCTGTCAAAGAAATCATTAATTAGATCCAGGCCAGTGCCTATAGAGCTCGACATTGTGAGAAACCCTTTTCCATTTATGGTATGCATTTTTGCTTTTACTGCAAAAAAACCTCTAGTTTCACGAGTTTTGGAAGTTTTAATTTCTCTAAACAATTCTTTTAATTATCTAGAAAAAACGTCCCAAAGGTTAGCATCTGGTTTGTACACCTCTAGAAGTTCTCTTAACTTTACATTTAGTAAAAATGTTAAAACCAAAAACGAAAAAAATCACTGGCGCTGGTGAATAATAGAATTTCAACTTTACACGAGTTTTACTTCTGTAAAACCATTAAATAGATCCTGCTAAAGTTGGAACACAACTAACTTTTTCAATAACGGCATGTGGCGTGACACAGAAATTAAAAGCCGACGAATATATATTCTATTTGGTCCTACGATTGATGACGAAAAGTTTTGCTTTTGAATAGGAAGTTGTATATTACTAAGCTAAACCTATAGGCAATGAACAAGCTGAAACAACTTACACGCTTATCAGAAAGAAGGAGGAATATTGTAAAGTCAATTGAAATTATGCTTTCTGTGAGAGGCTGTCACAAGTCAAATTGTTATTGTGGTAAATACTAATATTTTGGAGACTCTAAAACCGAATGTAATACAAAATTAAACTTTGCAAAAGGGCACTATTTTCAAAAAACAAGATATATTGTATAGAACGCAACGAGTACTACATAATGTCCTCAAAGTCCAGAAAGGCCCTTTACAAGTTACGTAGATATATTATTTCTACGGTTGCCAACTTTCGGTTATTGAAATAAAAAACACATTTTGAAATTTTTTTGGGAGCAACGCCACCGAAGGCCAGATATTCAAAATAAAGCGCCGCAGGAGAACATTTTTTCCAGAACCACTCTGGATTTTTTGGTTTTTCACAATAATATCCAATATAGTTATCCACTTTGACAATTCTATTGAAAGTAAATAGGTAACATACCTACCTAAGTGACAAAAAAAAACTATTTTTAATTTAAACATTTTGTTAAAAAAAAATCTAGAATTACATAGTGGAAGCCTGAAAACAGCGCTGCATTCGCTGGCGCTGCGAGTAGAGTGGATAGAAAATATAATGACCTCAAAAATAAAAAAACGCCCAGCTTCCCATGCATGAATATGAATCAAGCGACGTTTGCTGACAAGGTTAAAATTCAGAAACCAGAATCTGTAATAGTTATAAAACCTAGGCAGGTCCAAGAAAGTTCGGTAACCAGAAATTGTATTCAACAGAAAATTAGCCCTCATGGACTTAATGTGTCCAAATTTAGATTGGCCAGAGATGGTGCTGTAGTAATTGGCTGTGACAGTGAAAGCGAAATTAATTCTCTAAAGAATAAGATGGAGAAGGAATTAAGAAAGGGGGTACCAAATTGATAAACCAATTAAGAGAAGACCAAAGCTCAAGATAGTCAACTTAAATCCCACGGATCTAGCCATGGATGAGGAGAGTATAGTGGAACAGATTGTACAAGCAAATAATATTCAGGAGCATGATAGTTTTCACATGAAAGTTGTAAAAAAAAATTAAAATAGGCGAAAAAACATTGACCTTATTCTGGAAGTGGATCCGACAACCCAAGGAAAAAGTAGCTATAGGTTGGTCGAGAGCATGGGTATTCAACAATGTCCATATTCTGCAATGCTACAATGTAACAATTGTATGGGTTATGATCATCTAGCTAAAAATTACACAGTACCAAAAGTTTGTCCTAATAAGTGTGCGAGAAGTCATTCTTTCAAAGATTAGACTGTAGATGAGATAACGTGTGTAAATTGTTGGAAAACAAACCAAAAAAATAACAGACCCAAGCTAAGTACCGGGTGATTGACTATATTTTGCACCCACACCTATCTCACCTGTTTGAAGAGATACTCAGTAATGTCAAATGTGAAAGTTGTAGGTAATATCAGAAATTTTTCAATGATGTTAGTTACAATTACACAGTGTTTGTCACAAAAGTGCGGCGAAGCAAAGTTGAACTTTTTTGCATGGAAAACCCGTATATTATTGTCCCATTGGATTAGTCGGTAGGTGTTGTTTATAGAGTAGGAAATAATGTTCTAGAATGTGTAAATTGCCTGGACAGGTTGTTGTCTGAGGTTGTACCTATGGATGAGTATACTTTGGTTCTTGGCTATTTGAACATAAATATGTTGAATATTCATAACCCAGTTAACAGATTATTTGATAGTTATGGCTTTTGTCAGGTAATAGATGAGCCAACTCGTCTGACTGGTGCAACGGCCACTCTACTGGACCCAATTTTTAGAAATGACAAAAATTTTGTGAGTCAGAGTGGTACAAAGGACTCAAATGGCATGAGTGATCGTCTGCTAACATATTGTAATGTGAAGATTTCATATATTAAAAGATTTGAAAAATTCTTGACCTAAGGGATTTAAAACATTTTAGGGAGAGGGATTTTCTACTTGATCAGCAAACAATGGTAAGGTGTGGGATGATCTTTTATTATTTTCATGACATTGATGGTAAAGTTAAATATCTTACTGACAATATATAGAATTTGTTTGAGATACATGCACCTTTGAGGTCGATTAGAGTGACAAAACAGCGTTCGCCATGGCTGACATATGCAATTAGAGGTTTAATAAAGGAAAGAGAAGATGCTAGGCTTAATTTTAAAATGAGAAACACTGCGGAAAGTCTTGAAAACTATAAAATACTCAGAAATCTTACCAAATCCTCGATATGTAGAGAAAAGTTGGCTTATTTGGAATTTTTAGAAAATTTAAAAAATGAGCGTAAAGTTTGGAATACTTTAAGGGACCTAAATGTTTATATGCCCGCAAGTACAGTCAGTGAAATCCCTTCTATCTATAAACGAGTATTTCTGCAGTGTCTCTCAAAAAACAAACAACTGTGATACTAAGATAATCAATATAATAATTCATAAAATAAAAGAAGGTATACATTTTTCATTAAAATTAGTAAAATCTGTTAAAAAAAAGTCAAAATGACATTATGTTGGCAATACAATGTAAAATTGTCAATGCTTTCAAATTTTTTATGTAGAAAGGGCTTGTGTTGCCAACATAGTTACTAAATTTTTGACTTGGGGAATTATCTTTAAATAAAAAACAGACTTTAGTTTGATTTGAGTATGTTCGTCGATCCAATATTTGACTAAATTCAAGAAAAATTGATTATTGATTGCTAATGCGAAAATACCAGAATTTTGCTGGAATGAAATGTCGAATTACTAGATATATGTATTTTGAAAATCTTCATTTCTAAAATCGGGGTCGATATTACCAGATCTGGTAATGATTTTACCAAGTTGGCAACACTGGTAATATCTAATTGTAAGGTAACAATCAAACAATTTCAGTGGTAACTTAAAATTTAGGTCAGATATATGACAACAGAGTATCACACAAATTGGATTCATATCAACCCTGTGAACATCAGGCAGGATTCCGTGAAGGACACAGTACAATTTGACCATCTGTAAACTTTAGGCACGCTAATCGAGAAGGCGACAGAGTACAATATAGGAAATTTGGCTTTCATCGATTTCCAAATAGCATTTGATCCAGATGCCAGAATCGACTCTAGATACTCAACACTCATAAAAAACATTCACGAAAATGTAACTATGACAGTCAAACTAGAAAAGGATATGAAAACCGACAAAATCCCGATACACAGAGGAATACGACAAGGTGACACAATTTCCTCAAAGCTGTTCACGATAGCCTAAGAGAATGTTTTAAAAAACCTAAACTGGCGGGATAAAGGAATTAATATACTTAGATGGAACAAGACCGACCATTTCTCAAACATCATTCTCATTATTAATACTACTGAAGAGCTGGAGATGATGCTAGAAAAACTCTATAGACCGTCCCTACAAGTCGCATGAACGGTAAACTTGAGTAAAACGACAATAAGCCCTTCACCAACAGAAATAAACATAGAAAACCATACCCTATAGAGAATGTAACTTGGTAACTATGGTATTTTTAATACGTATATATATATAGCAGTGATTTTTTGGAGCAGTTTTACCTTAGTTGGCGGCCGTACTGCTACCTAATATTATGTTAATGCTACATCGCAAAATGGCATAGTCGCAGTCCGCATTCACGGCTGAGAGAGATGCTCCACTTTCCAGCCTGCCCTCTGCAGTAGCAGTTTCCATTTGGCGTGACCATAATGCGATTTATAATATTATTATTTCATTTACATCACTTAGCTCGAGTTTTGTCCGCGCTGCATCGGTCGGAGCTCGAACGGGCAGTGACACTTCACACAGTCACTGCTACTTGACTGGGACTGGAGCAGGTCGTGACTGTGACAGACGAGTAGCAGTGACAAAGTCACAGTTCGTGATATCGCAACCCACCTCTACACACAAATAAAATTGAGTTAGGAATTTCGGGAATTTCTAGAGGAGTTGGAAAAAAATCTGACCCCCACTTACGAGCCTCGATTTTCAAGGGAAGTTGACCGGTAAAACCCGCATCTCGATATCTTGATTCGTTTTTAAGCTACAAAAGTTATAGACCCCCTGCCCAACTCCAAACGGTTCAAAAACCTCTCGTAGCATAAAAAGGACTCGACATATCCAGATGCGGTTTTCACCAGTCAATTTCTCTTGAAAATCGAGGCTCACAAGTGGAGGTCAGATATATT